TAATAGGCCGTTGGCCAGCCTAGAGATTAGCTGTCCTTGAGTCAGATATTGTCCCAACTGAGCCATCAGTGGACAGGATTGTGAGGTCACATGGTATAGGCCATGGCAACGCATACTTAAGAAAGCCCTTGGAAGGGACCGTGGGCATGGCAGGTTTGCTGAGGGTTTCCAGAAAGGGGCAGTGTAATTGGAAAGCTTCTTGTTTGGCCTGTCCAGTACACCAACCCTCAAGGCCAACCTAAGTTCCACCTTCAAGGCTCTAGGGGTGATGTAGAGAGGGAACTTAGGTTCCAGTTCTGGCTCCAACACTTCCTAGTAGTGGGGCCTTGGGGAAGTTCCTTCCTCTCCAAGGGCCTCAGGAGGGGGTTGGACAGTCTGTAAGTTCCCTTACAGGTCTGACATCTGGGCATCTCACTTTAGGTTACTGTATAAGGGATGTAAGGGAAGTCCTCAAAAACATCTCTTGAGGTAGGAAAGAGGAGTCAGATCCCTGGCTCGGAAGAGTCTCACTGTACACAGGAGGTGCTTAGCCAAGATTTATTAAACTGGATGAATGAATCAGTAGCTGGGGAGAGGGAGAGACCACATAGCACACAGAGAATGACTAACTCGAGGGAGGAATTGCAGTTGCTGAGGAGTCTGGAAGGAGGTTCTGGTTCAGATAGATGAGGAAAGAGAATTACTGGGATAGAGTAGGCATCTTGGCTGTTAATGGGTACTCACTCTATCCTCTCGGTCACCCTCCACATCTAATAACTAGTCACTGTCTGGGTTATCATCGTCCCTTAACAGTTCACAGCTTATCACCTCCAAGCCATCCCAGCTGCTCTTGCCCTTGAGTAGGCCACCCAGTATTTTCAGTAGTTTCCTAACTAATCTCCCCGTCTCCTTCTCTCCCTCACAAATGCATTCATTGGTGCATTCACTCATTCAGAAACTATTTATTGGGTGTCTGGTTTTGGTCAGCCACTGTGCTTTTTGCTGGGAAAATACCAGTAGCAAGATAAGCCCAGGCCCACCCTTGTGCTTACAGCTTATTCGGAGATAAAATAAAATAAGCAAATACAATACACTGTGAGAACTAAACAACGGGGAAGCTACAGGCATGGGAGCATATGGCATGAGCACCTAACTTGTTCCACTCCACACTGACTGGCCAGAAAGGGGTTTGCTAAATTCACATCTGACTCAGTCTCCCCTGCTTAAAACCACTCCTTGGCTCCCCCACTGCCTTCATGCTGCAGTTCTAACCTAGCTGCACACTAGTCGTGTGCTGACCTTCATCAGCACTCAGGATCCTGAGGCCCCACCCCAGTTACTGAAACTGAACTTTTAGAGGTTGGGTTCGGGATGCCCCATGTGTTTCTGGTGTGCAGCCAGTTTGGGAACCACTCTTTCCAATGAGATAAACCTGGACGCTTTAGCCAGGCTCTTAGGCTTCAAATGTGGTTCCTGACTACCTCTCCAGCTTCATTTCCTGCTGCTCGTTCCCACCCCAGGAAACCTTATGCTTCAGTATTTCTGAACTGCTTGCTGCTGCTTGCCTTCAGGCCTTTGTGCATACCATTCCCACTACCTGGGAATTCTTTCCACTTTCTCAACTGGCTAATTCCTACCAGTCCCTCAAGACTCGGCTCAGGTGTCACCTCCTACACCAGAGGATGCCTTCCCTGAACCTCTTCCTGAGCTAGATGCCCCTCCTTTTCCCGTGCTCCTGTCAGAACACTGATCACACTGACGCTGTACGGTTAACGGTTGTTTTATGAATCGCCTCCCCAACTAGAGTGAGCTCCTCAGTGGTGGGATCGAGATTTGACTCGTGTGTCCTTGGTGTACAACACCATGATTCCCAGAGTGAAGTGCCCAGTTAATTAAAAGTAGACCCTGTCATGGAGCACTCAACTCCCTAGACTAAGACTACAGGGTCCCAAGTACAAGGGACTCAACCTAGTGCCCTCCAATGAGCCCTAAGGATGCTCCTCAGATGCAGCTTCCTCTTGAAAACACCCCCTGGTGTCTGCCTGCCTGAGCCCAGCCTTCACTGAGCATGTTACCCTGTGATGCTATGAGGCAGTGAGGCTCAGCAGCAAGGCGCTGGGCAAGCAAAGAAGACTCAAGTTTGAAGTCTAGGCTCTGACACTGAAACACTTGGATCTCAGACAAGTCATCTCGCCTCTCTGATCCTCAGGATTTATGATCCTCTTAGCAATTGGGTTCCTGTGTTCCAGGGCCTTAGCCCAAGGCATATCATGTAGTCCTCTCCACCCAGTGAGGTAGGAATTAGTTATCTAGATCAGCGATTTTCAACCAGTGTGCCGCAAGAATTTTTAAAACATGCAGTACCTGACTATTTAGTCAGGGGCACTGACCTCTTTTCCCTGAGATTGTCAAATAAAGTGACAGCAGCCAACACAACAGCCATCCTGTGTGAATGAATCAAAATTATACTTTTTGTTTTGGTCAGATAGGCAAAAAACCTATTTTTGGTATGCCACAGAATTTTAGTAATTAGTTTTGTGTGCCGTGAGATGGAAAAGGTTGAAAATCTCTGATCTAGATTCTTATCCACACCCTACTGAGTAAGATTTCCAGGGGCAGGACCAGAGCTGTGGAGGTACAGCAGGGAACTGGGCTTTTGATTACAAGCCCTTCTACATGACTTTATTTTCCAACCTGTGTACATATTGCTTTGATTTTTAAAAAGGAAGAAGCTTCACAAGTGATTCAAGTGGAAAGCCAAGGCTGATAACCACCCTCACAGTCTTGGAGAAACCCCAAGACAGAATCAGGGGGGCCTGAGTTCAAACTCTATCTGGTAACTGGGTTATTTACTCTTCCTGGGCCTCAGCTTCCCCGCCTGTAAGTGGGGAGAACAGCAATCACTACCTTTAAAGGCCTGTGATCCTCTGTGCCAGCCAAATTGCTTCAAACAGATTTCAATTCATCCTCCCTACATGGCTACGAGGTGGGCCTCTGTTAGCTCCTTTTCTATGTGGGGAAACTGAGGCTCATGCAGGAGACATAACAGGAGCAAGTTTCCACAGCTGGGACTTAAACCAGGGTGACTCCCAAGTTGCGCTCTTCCAGATGTGCCAGTACTTCCCAAACTACAGCACAGGTGCCACTGGTGGGATGGGACTTCTTTGACTGAACACAGACAAATTTGTTTTGATAGTTATGCCTTTTAATATGTATTAAAAACAACATAACAACACATAAAACCCGTGGTTTCACGATACCACTACTTAGGATGAAATTGAAGTAGATAATGATGTCAAACCAAAGACAAACTTGAGAAAAATACTGAGTAAGTAGTAGAGGAAGGCAGTTTAGAAGTATCTATTAAAAACAAAAATATAAATAGCCTATGACTCTTTCAATTCAACTTTTAGGAATCAATCATAGGTAAATTTTCATACACACACATGATGCTCCTATGTAGTATTTTGTAATATCAAAACCAGAATATAGTCTTACTGTCACAAGATAAATGGGTAAAATGTGGTCATCATATGAGGGCAACCTATACAGCGATTACAACAGATGACATGAATCTATTAGCAACATGCACAGATCTCGAAAACATTAGGTTAAGAAAGCAAACTGCAGGACATTTCCATCTACCGTCCACATTAAACACAGTAACATTGCCAATATATGTAAAAATCTTAAAGTCTAGATAGAAAGATGTACAACAAATGGAACAGCAGTTAAGGGAGGGAGGGAAAATGGTAATCAAACGAGGCTGGCTTTATTTGTAACAATCTGATTTCTTTAAAAGAGTGGATTCATGAATTACTTGAGTAATTAGAACTGACTTTTCAAAAACAAAAATGCGGTACACAGATCCGGACAAGGTGGTGGTCTGACGTGGGTGTGAGCAAGCAGACTGACCTCGTGGCAGCAGCCTGTGCTGCCTCTGCACGGTCCCTGAAGCTAATGCGGTTAGTTCCCAAAACGAACATGACATGTGTTTGGCTAGGGTGTGGCCCCGGCTACCTCTCCCCTACTTCCTCACAATTCAGGTTGGGGCACAGGCACCCAGTTATCATACACGATTGAAGCTACAGATTTCCTTTGGCCCTCCACTTACCAGGTAACCCTCCCCTCCCCCATCAGTGCCCCGGAACTTTCCTAGTAACCAGGACATTCAGCATCTCCCAGATTTGGAGGCTCCTTCTGTTCCTAACAACTGCGATTAGAAGCCCTCAGGGATCCAGGCATGAGAAGGCTGTATTCTGAGGGTTCAGCACCTAGTGGGCTCCAAGCAGGGATAAGGCCTCCAGTGAGAAGCTTGACATCATTAAACCCTATGTGAGGTAGGTAATATTGTTAGCCCTATTTTACAGATTAGGAAACAGTGAGGCACAGAAAGGTCAAATGACTTGCCCAATGTCAAATTAGAGTGATAAAAAAAAAAAAAAAGGGACTAGAACCTAAAACTGTCCCCAGAGCCCGGGCTTTGCTCCTAGTGCCCGGGCTCTATTCCTAGTGACTGACCAAATCCTGCTGATTTATCAAGGTCCAGCTCAAATGTGACCTTCTCCAGGAAGCCTGGAGGTAATCGTCTTCTCAAATTCAAAGTGCCTATACACGATTCAGCTAACCACAGGAACTCATGAACCCACTGCATCTCCTTAGGAGGGATCATGTTTGATTCAGCTCTGCATTCCTATCAGAGAGCCAGACAAATAGAATGTTCAGTATGTGCTTGACAAATACACAAATAAATGAAAACACAAATGAGTGCAGGCAGTTTCATGTGACTGCCTGACTCCTTCCTATGAGGTCCTGAATACCTTTGCCCAGTACTGGGGTGTGGTCATACTAAGCTCTCTTGGAGTCAAATTCAACCTAGGTTCCTTTTTTAAATCCTCATCCAGAGTGAGGATATTTTTCCATTTATTTGGGGGGACACACACACACGTCAATGTGAGAGAGAGACATCGAATGGTTGCCCCCGACATGTGCCCCAACCAGGGGCAGGGATCGAGCCTGCAACCCAGGTATTTACCCTTGACCGGGAATCAAACCTGCGACCCTCCAGTGCACAGGTAGACGCTCTAACCACTTAGCGATACCAGCCAGGGGCAACCTAGTTTCCTTCTAAAATGAGTCTCCAATATCTTCAGTATTTTGCAAACACACCCACATGCACACATACGGACACACACATGCACACATATGGACACACACAAGCAAAATGCAAGGGGGCCCATAGACCCATGATTATGGGTGATGGAAGGAGAGGTTTGGGAGAGGATAAGGGGGGATGGACAAATGGCCCTGTTCAGCTCAGCACCTCCTTCCAGAGGCCAGGATGCTCCCTGTAGTTTAGGAACTTTTGCTCCAGACCTAGCATCACCTCTGTTCCTCTGTGCTCGACAGCAGTGCCTAAATTCCACGACTATATCAAACAGGGAAAGGAGGGAGGGGAAGGTTGGGAGCCAAATATCCAGAGATTGGCAGACGGGCAGCTTAGAGATCCAGATAGGGCGACAGGGCAGAACTGCTACTGCTCATTGGGATTGGGGTTGGCATCTGGGTACTTGGTGAGGTCAAAGGTCAGGACTTTGCTGATCACACAGTCCCCTTGCTGGAGGAGGAAAGAAAAATGAAATTGTAAGGAGAGAATTAAGAGCGGTCTAGCGTCCCAGGACTGGGGCTTCAAACCCTCCTCCTTACGTATCTGCCCAAAGCCCAAGCAATAGTTCTCTTTGGGTGTGAGGATGTGCTTGGGCCTTCTCTCCCTGCCTACCTCTGCATGCAGCTCCTTTTCTGTTGCCTGGCTGCCTATGCCTGGCCTTTCCACCTGTCCCCAAATGCAACAGCCCTGCCCAGCTGGGCTGGGTAAGCCTCCAGGGCAGAGCTCCAACAAGCCCAGATGGCCGTTCAGGACTTGAGTCTCTATGCTTCCCCACCCCATGCCCCTCCACTGCAGCTTTCCCTTCCTGCCCCGGGGAGTCAGGCAAGGAGTGGGGCTGGCTATTGAGCCAGGCCCGCCCTACCTCAGGGTAGACTCCAATGAGGCTCTCAGCCTTGGTGTAGAACTCCTCCTTGAGAGAGATGACGATGGCCTGGAAGTTGCAAGTTGACTGCTCTTTGATGTAATTGGCCACCTGTGGGAAGGACCAAGACACAGCAGGACTGAAGCCCTAATACCTTGTGTTTTCCAGTCAGAACCAGAGGCAGAGGGGATGGTATAGGGGGATGAGATACTGAGAAGAGGCCAGTGACTAGTACAGTGTGAATGACCCTGGGCTTAGCATCCCAAGCACAGAGAGCAAGCACCCGGAAGAGCTAGGGCACACTCAGGAGTTGCTCCCCAAAACTCAGCCCCGACCTAGGGACCTCCCTCCCAGGCCCTGCTTTCCTTGCACTCACCTTGCCAATATTGGTGTTATCCAGGGCAGCATCAATCTCATCCAGGACGAAGAAGGGGGCTGGCTTGTAGCTGGGAGAGATCCAGTAGGTGAGCTGACATTGATGGGACAGCCCCAGGGCCTATCACACAGGTCGGATTCCCCTCCACTTCTTCAGAGACTAAAAAACCCAGGCCTTAATGTTCCCTGAACCCCTAAGGCCAACAGACCAACTGAGCCCTCCTCTGCATCCAGCCCAGTGCTCCTGGATCCTGCAGAACCAGAAGACATGGTCCTCTCCAGAGCTTCCAGGCTGGCTGGGGAGATAAAGCTGTCCTGGGCTTTGGCCATACTGACCAAGCTACCTAGAGGTCTCCCCCATCCATCTGTACCATGCTCTCATGTCTCCCTGCCTATACACACACTGCACCATCCGCCTGCAATGCCTACTAGCCTCTCTGGCCAATTTCTACTCATCCGTTACATTTCCTGCTCAAGTGTTACCTACCCTACCTTCAAATGCCTTCCATGGGCCCCCATACCCTTCTCTAAATTGGGTTGGTGCCCCTCTGTGCATCCCCAGCACACATGCTCACCTGGTTACAACACTTAGCTCACTGTCTATTTACACATCTGGCTTCCACTACACCATGAGCTCTTTGAGGACAGAGACCATGTCTGACTCATTTGTGTCCCTAAGCCCCACAGAAGGTCTGGTGGTATAGAGCAGCCCTTAAGAAATGTTTGCTGAATAACTAAGTTGTAGGGGTCAGATGAAAGTACTATTGGCATTCAGGGAGGGAAGGTCAGGGTATGCTACAGTGGTCAAAGCAGGCTTCCTAGAGGAACAGGAGGAAATGAGACATGAAGAGGTGGTAGGTGATGGTCAAGCTAGATTTGCATGAAAAAGGCTGATAAGCCAGCAACCATGTGAGCAAAAGCCTGGTGGTAGGACTGAATACATGCAGGGGCCAGTGAGGACATGCTGAGGGGATGAGAGTGGAAGGGGAAGACGGGTCTAGGAAACCAAGGCCAGATATGTTGTAACAAGTAGTAGGTAGGGAAACAGGGACCCAATCCAGAATCTAGCAGAATACTTTCACCTCTGCAGATCTCTGCATATCCTTGGGTCTGAGAGACTCCAGTGGCCTTAGTTTAGTCTCTCCACCAACTGCCCTGGAGGGCACATCCTTACCTATGAATGGCAAAGAGCAGGGCCAGAGCTGCCACTGTTTTCTCGCCCCCTGACAAGTTGTCCATAGGCCGGAAGCGTTTGCCAGGGGCCACGCAATTGTAGTTGATGCCATCCAAATAGGGTTCCTCGGGGTTTTCAGGGCCCAAGAATGCCTAGGGGGAAGGTAGACAGGTGAGGGTGAGGGTGAGGATG